AAGGAAAATTGAATTTTCACAAAGGTGTCCCGCAGCCCATCTTTTAAATTTAGTTTATTGTACTTGTCTCTCGGTTACCTTTCAGTACTCTCAGAGGCATAAACGAGAAAGACGTCATCGAACTTCAGTCTAATATCTCCCGGTCTACTAGTATATACTGAACATGGAGAATATCATTCAACATCATTCTATGATAAAATTTGACTCTTGTTCTGTATTTATATATTTGCTTAAATATAATTTTAATCAAATCTCTAACAAATTTAGAAACTTCAAACGCAATAAATTACGTTATTTGTATTGTATAAGATGGCAGTGCTTTCTATAGAAACACCAAAACACGGGTAATAGCACCTAGAGCTAGAGACGGATTAACCTATGGTGCATGAGGTTCGGAGCTACAAGCTCTAGAGAGACTCTTTTTCTAAAAAAATTTCAAAACATAAACACCCGTTTAGTTTGATTCTAGGAAAAAAAATTATTTTGCCGAGGCCCCCGATCTCGTCACTAGGGTTACCAGATCTATTTCATGGCAATAAACCTTCAAAACCCGAAGACTCCAGGTCAAAAACCCTATTCGTCAGCCCCTAGAAACAAACATTTACTTCGTTTCTCCACAGAATACTTGGTGCGGTAGTGCATTGCGTCCTTCTAATCTGCGTTTCGCAGTTGCGTAGTTTTACTTTCCAAAGTAACCGGTTACTTCTCGTAATAGTAACGACGAACCGAACGTCCTTCCAGTAAAATACCGCTACAAAATAGCTATCCATCTCATCTTCTCAATTCTCATCATATTTACTCTACATCGCTATAAGTGCATACTGTGCATAGGTATATATTTCACTGGCAATATTTTATGTGCTCAATGCTCATATTCCCTGAACAATTTTTAACTGCCTGTGTAAATATTGTTTAGTTTTGTATGAAAGAAAACTGTTTTTCCTTAAAATTATAAGAATTAAAATTAGATAAAGTAAAATCATTAGTGATGAAAGATAAAGCTGGCTGTAAGTGTCTAATGACCTATACTCCATGGTCGAAATTATAGAGTGATTAATCGCTAGCTTTTGGATTCGTAAGGGGGATGAAGCGTGCCGGGAAAGAAAATCCATTGGCGTGTCTGCGAAAAAGGCAACAAGATATTGAAAATAATGAAAAAAGATAATAAAACATAACATCTAATATTTTTTACGGTTTGCTATAATAGGCACTTTGATCCATTTTAATTATTACAGCATTTTAAAACGTCCCAATTGTGTTTTTTTAATTTATAAATTTATTAGCCATGGAATTAGACCCCTCGTCTACGCCTATGCTATGACGTTTCTCAGGACGGGTTAAATCAAGTCCCTTTACACCCACTAAAAAAGCATTTCCCTATTTACTACCAAGTGCAAAAGACAGAGATAGAATATAGATCGACGTTCAGTGTAACTAGGTCTCTAGACGATTATAGATTCTATCGATGTGCGTAGCGAGCGGCACAAAGATAAATAATATTGAACCGTATAAAAATCATTTTATATTTTATACGCATTATGGTAATAGTGTTTTTATATTATGTCTTAGTCACTCTTTATAATTTCGACCGCGGAGTATAGAGGTATGTTGGTTGACTTAAATTCAACTGTTTACTTTGTCGATGTTTGTATAACTGAGTCTAGAGTTCTAGAGAGTAGAGACAGTAATCTCCTTTGCTTCGAATTTCGAGGCTTCCAGAGTACTCGCGTTTCTTATGTAACGTAGCCAGAGATAACTTTAATGGAATAATTTTTTTGACCTAATAACTAACCTGACCTATCCTATCTCATCAGTATGATTTTTTTCATTAAGATAAGAATCAAGACAAATCTGAAATATTGCTCCTATTGTCATTCTTTTCTGAGATACCCTGTAGTGTAAATTATTTAATATCGAAAAGGCGGCTTTGTCGTTCAATACTGGTTATCTTGATTTTAGCTAAAAATTATCTTTTACCTACATAAATTAATTATATCATATTCTCCTATGGCTTGTATTTATTAGGTACTTAGTTACTGTTTTATCTGCTGAATTTTTGAAGTGGTGACTGGTGATATATGTTGAGGGTTCCTAATTTCTTTGAAGTGCAATTTTAGTTACCTAGGTACCTACTTTAAATATTTTTTGCATTATATATTGTGCATTCTGCAACTTGCGATACGATGGAGGTAAGGTATATCTATATTTACTCTCATAATTTAAATTACACTAGTTTGTGTTATATTTTAATCTTTAAACTTTTATTTATCACTCAATAACCTTCAGGGGTTTTATCATGTTTGTTTTATAAATTGATGATAAACGCGCCTGTGTATAGATAAAGAAGAGCACAGTCGGTACCTACAAAATATTGTTATAATTTAGTTATTTTTTTAAAGGGACAGAATATGCAATTTACTGGAAAAGTGGTTTTAATTACTGGTGCCAGTTCAGGCATTGGTGCAGCTACTGCTAAAATTTTTGCTACATTGGGGGCCAATTTGGCTTTAACTGGTAGAAATGTGGAGAGACTGAAAGAAGTTGCTGCTGAATGTTCAGAAAAAAACACTCCATTGTTACTTACTGGCGAACTAACTAATGAAAAAGATACCAAAGATATATTAGATAAAACTATAGAACATTTTGGAAAACTAGATGTGTTGGTTAATAATGCAGGCACTCTTGAAACAGGTTCTATAGAGGCAACAAATTTGGAACAGTATGACAGGGTTATGAATACAAACGTTAGATCCATTTACCAGTTAACAACACTGGCAGTACCTCATTTAATAAAAACAAAGGGAAACGTTGTCAATGTGAGTAGCGTTAATGGAATTAGAGCATTTCCAGGTGTCCTAGCTTATTGTGTTTCTAAAGCCGCTGTTGATCAATTTACTAGATGTGCAGCCTTAGACTTAGCACCAAAGCAAGTCAGAGTTAATAGCGTCAATCCTGGTGTGGTTATAACTAACCTCCACAAAAGGGGTGGCATGAATGAAGAACAGTATGCGGCATTTTTGAAGAGATCCCAAGAAACTCATGCTCTGGGACGGCCTGGGCAACCAGAGGAAATTGCGAGAACCATTGCATATTTAGCAAGTGATAACGCCAGCTTTATTACAGGGGCATCTGTACCTGTAGATGGTGGAAGACATGCTATGTGCCCCAGATAATAAATATGTGTATTGGATAATTTTTTAAAGAGATGTTTGTAAAAGTATTCGACAGTACTCATTGGCTCCTGCATTCTATATAAAATAAATCTTTCTAAGCTTAAGCCTTTTTAATTACTGTTGCACAATATCCTCACATAAACATTTGAACATTTTAAATAAATTCAATACAAAACGAAAAATCCTACTTTAAATTATATTGACTTAAATATTTATATCTTTACATTGTTTTTTAAAGAAACCACATATTTAGTTGTGTTCAAAGCTTAGCAGAATACTAATGTAAGTTAAAGTATTTGCATGAGTATTTCACCACAAGTACCATTAAAAAATTCATAATATTTACGTAGTAGTAATCAATCAAATTGGTCACAATTTTTGTATATTCGTATTCTGTTACACACAAAATTTCACAGTATTATTTCTTAAGACTAGTCGAAAACATGCATGTATGTGCAAATGGCTCCCCTCAATATTTGTTCTTGGTATTCAAAAACTGCAAAATGCTTAAAAATTTCAAATACTGAATACCATCAAAATAAAAGTACTGAAGTACCTGGTATCGTGTGCTTAGATACCTAGTACAATTTACTCGAGAACTGCATAGCTGCTAGTTGTTTTTAAATTCATTGAAAGTTCATTCCAAAAGAAAAGATATATAATTTTAAACAAGTATTTCTACAAATGAATGTTAAAAAAAATGTATTTCATAGAATTTTATTAATAATTTTACATAGCTACAAGAAACTAAATTGTCTAAAATACTTTAAGATGATGGAATTCCCAATTCATCATCCGTCCACTTTGAAGCATCTGGGTATTCAAATTCACCCTGAAACAGTAATAAAGCTTTACATTAATTAATAACGTATGATGTTACATTACATACGAAAACATGTCCTGGTTCGGTCCATAAATGCCATAAAACCCACCACCAAGCAAACCCCTGGATTAGTTCTGCCATCAGTACCATATTTCGGGGTGGTGTCGGTCGTGCTTTTCTATAATTCCAGCTAAAATCATAAAATTATAAGTAATTACATAACTATAACAAAAATAGTCTTACTGATGGCCATTTCTAATAGGTTGGTTAAGTACTGTGACATTATTTAAATTATTTAATCTTGTAAGGACTGAAAGGCCTCTTGAAATTAACATTTTGCTTATATATTTGCAAATTAATACTAAATTTTTAATTTTCTATAGACATTAGACAATTTGACGTTTTGAATCAGCTGACAGCTGCCATTTAACAGTTTGACAGACGACAACTCGATATTTATCATTGACCCTCTATAAAACAGACTGTTGCTACTACTTTAAATTTCAGCCAAATTGCTTGTAGGGTAGGCAGACAGCATTTGAGTCTGCGTATTTAATTAAAACAATGACAAAGTACACCTATGACTCAATACAATTAGGTACTGAACATGCGAAATATACACTTTAAACTTTAAACTTTAAACATACCTTTTTGCAAGTTTCAATTTTCAATTGTGGATATTTTTTTTTCATTTATATCACTTTGGCTCAAAGTCTATTGGACCTTGGTATATTTTTATGTAGGTACCACATCGTACTGCATATTTGACTGACAATGCGATCTACGTTTTTTCTAAATTTGTTGGTGTCACATTTTTTAATTTTAACTTAACCTTAAATTATCTCTGTGGTTCTGTGGTGTTAGATACTATTTGGATATCGAGTCAAATTTCTTTTATAAAAGTAAAATTAATCGCAAATTAAATATGGCACAAATATCAGCTACAGAACAAAAAGGTATGCAACAAATAGATCTAACTACTTTAAATATTCAACAGTTATCTACATTAAAACAACAGTTGGATCAGGTAAGTTCTATACCAAATTTGGAGAATGAAGTGATTTTAAAAACTCATTTTAGGAATTGAATCTATTTCAAGAATCACTTGCTTCTTTAAAAGTAGCTCAGAGTAAATTTCAAAATTCAGGGGAAACATTGGAGAAGGTAACCCCAGAAACGGAGGGAAAGGATATTCTCGTGCCTTTGACTGGATCTGTATCCTTTGAGTATATTTATAATTTAATTTTGATATTTAATTGCTTGGCTAACCATGACTTATTGTAGTTTTAGGCATTTATTTCAAAGACAGGTACATGTATTTTTCTTAACATTTCGATAGATGTATGTTCCTGGTAAATTACATGATACCAATAAAGTTATTATAGATGTCGGGACTAGATACTATGTTGAAAAGGTAAATTTTATAATTATACATTTTACACTATTACATATAGACATAGGAACATTTTTCTTTCAATTTTTTAACTTTGTTGTAGTTTTCACATTATTATAAAAGATAGTAGCTAGATTTTGTTCAGAACAGCAGGTTTGGTTTTAATTTTCAAAACACAGCTTTAACTTTAATTTTTTATATAACAGAGATAATTTTAAAATTTTGATGCTGTTTTTGTCTTTGTTAACAAAATATTATTTTTACGGTTATTCATTTATTTATAATAATTCTAACCTAACAAAAAGAATTAAAATGATAATTCAGTGACATAAAGAACACTACACTCTTGTGCTTCAAAAATTCTGTATTATTTAATGGCTTCGTTAAAATGTCTACTGCCATTTCTACCGTTGACAAATACCTATTCAGGCTCTCTTTCACTTGATAATCGAATTGTTCGTTTTTTATTAATGTTATCGCACTTTGATTATCTATTTTTAGATTACATTTACTCTGTTTTTAATAATTTCTTCTAACAACACTTTCAAGTACATCAGTTTCTTATACGTACTCCACTACAGCAATAAATCCTGCTTCTATACTAGCGAGAGTATAGATTGTTTACGTAAACGCCAATTAATTAATCTATCACAGAAATAATGATATATCCATCTTCTCCATTCAATGTCTCGGGCAAAATGTGCATCACGATATGCAATCATTTTGTATTCTTTACAGTTAATTTCTGTAATACACCACAATAGTGTTATTAGTTTCACATCAGTAGCATATATGTTGAAGAGAATTTCAATTTTTCTATTATCATGTTTTACTTTGTACTTATTCGACTACCAATACATTCTCGATATGGAAAGATTTTGAAAACCAGTGTAACTAATCATTGGAGTTGTGAAAGGTTTAACACTATCCTCGCAAAATTTCCATAGTAGTGTTTCAGTGTCTGTTTCTTGACTTAGTTTTAACTCCTCGTGATCTTTCGTAATTTTCATACCTAAGAACGTTCCACTTTATCAGTTGCAGTCATTTAAAATTTTTCTCTCAGACTTCATTCTTCATTTTCTCCAACTACATGACATGACCATTTGTTATCGCCAGGAATAACAAGGCCCTCTGTGTTTTTGAAAATACATTCTTCCATTTAAAATATGGTCTATTTTATTTTAGGTAATAGGTAAAATGTTGATTCCATTTAAGTCACAAGATTTTATTGCAGCCCATTTTAGTGATAAGATCAAAACTGTTTGCTAAATCACGTTCTATTCATTTTTGTGAATATCTTATATTTACGTGGCCAATGTTAATTGTTTACCTTTTCTTGTAAGTTTACTCCAAGCATGCTCTCTTCATTTTAATTCCTTATGTTCACAAAATAATGCCCACTTTTTATTTCACCTTGTACTATGTAATATTTTTGTTACCCTGTGTTATATTTACTTTATTTTTTTTAAATGTGGCTTCACAACCTTTTTCAGTTATTGGATTTTCTGGCAATAGATTTTTACCAAGTTCTGGCTCAAACAGTATATCATACTCCTTTGCTACACCAATTTATGTGCTACTATCTTCAAAACTTTTGCCATTTAAAGTTCTTCACGAGTCTATTATGAATAGGTTATTTCCTTTTATAGTTTCAGTTTATTCTGCAAGAAATAGTACTTTTCTGTGTTCACATTTTTTATTTCTCTGTTTATTTCTAAAGGCACAGACTTTTTCTTTATGATTAATTTTCTTGCACATTCTACAGGGTTTTTTCTTACGAAACTTAACAAAGTGTCCATTTTAACAACACTTGCGCACCTTTTACTTATTTGCTTTCTTCGGCACGACTTCTCGTAATATCAAATGTGTCTTGGTGTCTTACATTTGTAGCAAACTCATTCCAATGTGGTTTAACAGCTATGTTAAGGATTTTTTTCTTACTATTTTTATTTATTTATCAATAGTCTTGACGTTAAATTTGTCACAATTCGTTCTGGTGTTCATTACCTGGCTGTTCTAAACCGTTCATAGTTTTCTAGCAATGCACTCGAGATTTTTGAAATTAATGTCTGATTATCAATCTGTTGATTAAAGGCTTTTATTATCTTATTTATGTGAAAAGATAATGTCACTGTCTTTTACATATTTAGCATTAAAAAATGTTTGTAAAGTGAATCCTTTTGATAGGCACTATACAGGGTGGTCCGACTTTTATGCAGGAAACTTCGAGGGTAGATAGATCTCTTTAAAATAATATGTGTTTGCCTTATAAACATAAGTCTGGAACGGCCCCGTTTTAGAGATACAGGGTGTTGAGGTTTAAAAAAAAATGATTTTTGTTTATATCGCACACTACCTCACAGGTGGTGTAGAAAGGAGTGTAAATAGTTTTGTTGATGTGCTTACAAATTGCCCTTACTTTTAAACATAAAAAAATATTCTTGTAATATTATCGTTAGAAGTGTCTGCCATAAGGGGATTGTATTGGTATGAATAACTTGAGAACGGCGAATCTTAGGGAAAAAAATAAAGTCATCTTTTTTTATGTATTTTATGCATTAAAATATAAATCAGTTACAATGACATGTAAAAAATGCAGTGGCGTAGGTTTTTTTGTAAAAATGAGGGTGACGCCTGTCCAGTTGTACACCACTGATTGAACCTTTAAAGCTCATATTTCAGGGAATATTCAGGACTATCATACATTATATGTACCAAATTTTATAGAGATCGGTTAATAGCTTCCGGAGATATAAATAAAAAATCAATTTTTTGTGACAACTTCAACACCCTGTATCTCTAAAACGGTGCCGTTCCAGACCTATGTTTATAAGGCAAACACATATTATTTTAAAGAGATCTATCTGCCCTCAAAGTTTCCTGCGTAAAATTTGGACCACCCTGTATAGTTAGTAGATCTTATAAATTTCTGCGGACACTTCATAGTTTATTACATACTTATATATTACTAGAACATTCTCAGCTTTGGTATCTTTCTCTTCCAATCGGTTTTTTCTTCAGTTGTTCAATTTTCATCATATTTCACCTGATTACTCCTGATTAATCCAATACAATCCATGTACTTTAAACAAAATTTCAACTTGAAATTTCCACAGCTGAAAAGTTTCTGCATCCACTAGTTTTTCTATATTAACAGTTGCTTTATTTCCACTTTTACAAAACTTACCTATTTTTTTACACATAATGTTTTGTTTTAATATGAGGACACATCATCCAAATATAAATCTTGTATAAATTTATCCAACTAATTTTCCTTCATCACAATTAGATGATTTTATAAATTTTATATAGGTACCTTAACTTGACCTTTCCTTGAACAGTATCCTGAATTTCAAGGAAGATGACACTTTTTGTGTGTTCTTATTTTTTATTTGTGCCCAAACAGATATTTTTTAATTTCAGGATATTGATGCTGCCAAGGATTATTTTCAACGCAAAATAAAATTTGTAACTGAACAAATGGAAAAAATCCAGTATCTTGGATTAGAGAAAAGTAAAATCAGAGATGCTATAGTAGAAATTGCAGAAATGAAATTGGCCCAGCAGCAACAAAGTTGAGTAAAACATTCTCGTTTTCATTTTTTATTCTGATCTTTGAACTAATTTATTATAGAATGTATGTTATACTATAATCCCTGAATAAATACATAATATTTATAGCAAGTAGGTATTAGTCTCATTGTTTTTTCATCATATAAATATTTGAGAAAGACACTTTCTTTCATAATTTAAAAATAGGCTAATCAGTGTTAACACGTTCACTGTGTAAGTATTTACCTGCTCCACCCACCCTGTGCGGAATGTGTGTTCCAAAAAACATTTACAAATACTTCAAGAAAGTCCATAATTTGCACAAAAAGGTGTTCAATTTTTGCACGACCAGGTGTGATATGCACTGGTGACAGAATCAGAAATTATTATCCCACAAATCGAATTGTTTGCTTTGTTTTGAAAATTTTTCTTGGTCACTACTAAAGTGACTGGGAACACCACCCATGGGAACCCACCCCTCATGACGCAACAAATGCGTCATACGCATTCAACATGTTAATGGAATTTCTATAGCGTTCAGCTGAAATTTATTCCAGCTTACTTTACAATAATTTAATATTGTAACTCCCAAACTTTAAGAGTTTGGAAAAAGAAAATAATTTTTTGTCTGTGTCAACAAAATATGAAAACTTCTTTTATAATAACACGAATTAATTTTCTTGTGTCCCAGTAAACGATGTTTTAGCATTAGCAAAAAATATCAGTTGCTAGTAGGGTTACCAGATCTATTTCATGACAGACCTGGAGATATGACTCGTTTGTATAATTGATGGCTAAAAAAAAAGACAAATTGTTGTAAGAAATCAATGTCAAAAAGAAAACCCGGAGAAATGACATGTTAACCCGGAGTTCGGAGATATGCCATAAAAACCCGAAGACTCCGGGTCAAACCCGGAGATCTGGCAACCCTAGTTGCAAGTCATATATTATATCATAATAGAAGAAAATCATGTATTTTTAAAAAACCAGTTTTTTTTCACCTTTTTGTTGTCTGGTTATACAGTGTCCCTGAAAAGCATGGGCAATGCTTGACCATAGGTTCCTTGGATGAAAATAAGACTATTTAGCCTAACTTACCTATATACAAAAGTGCACGCCTACTGAGATGGCTTTCTAAATATAGAAGAGATAACCTAGTTTTTTTCGAATAATTTCAAAACTGTTTTTCTTAGAGACTTCAAATTTGGTACACATATATTTTTTTTTATATAAGAGCAATGTAAATATAGAATTTAGTGAGAATAGTGATGACAGAATTTATATTTTTAAAAATAAGCACTATTTTAGATTTTTTGCCTCTTACAAAATTTTGATATCGTTTATGGATTTCGAGTAAAATTTGCATTTTTTACACATTAAATAATATAAAATCAGTTTAAGATAATTAGAAGTCTAGTACGAGGTGCCATATAACAAAGAAACAAATTCATAACAGTAATTAAAAGGTCCAGTGTCAGGTCCAGTGTCAAGCTAGGTGATTTAATTTTAGCTTACTTTGTTTTTTATTGCAATTTATACTTTTGCTGAACAAACTGATATGTTATTAGTTTTGGGTTATTGTGAAGGAAATTGTTGTGCTAATGCTCAACATATGCTGAAAGATTTCCTAATCGAAAAATTCCAAATCACAAAACATTTGCTAATGTTCCACCTTCAGTCAGTTCAAGAACTTTTACGTACCAAAAGATCCTCCGTCACGTTTTGTTTTCGTCAAAGCATTCAAGAACTTGGAAATGGAAACAATAATATCCACAAGAAAATTCTGTTTATAGATGAAACCGCTTTTACTAGAGGGGTATTTTTAATTCACATAATGAGCATGTTTATTTTGATGAAAATCCACATGGAATCAGTAAAGAACAGTGCCAGCATGAATTTAAGATTAAGTTTGGGCTGGTGTTATTGGTAGTATATTAATTGGTCCTGTTATATTACCTGCTACATTGAACACAGATAATTATTTAGAATTTATCCAAACGAGATTACCCTATCTGCCTGAAGAGTTACCAATAACACTATGAATGAATATGATTTTCATGCATGATGTGGACCTCCCCATTTTGCCTTAACGGTAAGGCAATGCTTAGATGAGCATTATCCTAACAGGTGAATAGGTAGAGGAAATAATGCCCCCTTAAAATGGCCACCTAGATCCCTGGACCTAAACCCATGTAATTATTTCCTTTAGGGAGTGTTGAGGACCACAGTTTATAGTTTTTCAGCAAGTATATGGGAAACGAATTATGGGAAAGGACACAAAATGAAATTAATGTTGAGAGGAAATGCCCAATTATTGGACATAATTCATTTTAATTTCCTAAGAATTAATGCTTGCGTTCAAGAACAAGGAAGTCACTGAGCATTTACTGTAATATTATTTTATTGTGATTACATATATTAATTTAAGTTTATTTAAAATGTTAATGTTGATTTGATTACTTAAAATATAGTTTATTTAAAATACTAGTGTTGATTTTTTATTTTATTGATACTACTAATGACAGACTAAAAATGTGTAGTTAATTTTGTTTTTTTTTAATGTGAAGTTTTGTCATTATTCCTGCTTTGAGGCCGCATTAATACATTATTTTTTACAAATTGGAATATTTGCCTATATTTAATGTATAAAGAACGCCAATTTTACACGAAATCCATAAATGATATCAAAATTTTGTAAGAGCAAAAGAATCTTAAATAGTGCTTATTTTTGAAAATATAAATTCTGGTACCTATCACTGGCGTACACACAAAAAAATTATGGGATAGTCAGTGGCGCACAGGCACAGAACATCCTGTATATGTATTATCACCAAATTTTTTATTTACGTTGGCCTTGTACAGGGTTCCCCATATTAGACTATGCAGTTTAAAAGTCGAATAAAAACTTTCTGATCAAAGTAAATTAACTTTTTAATGGACTGACATGTAGCTAATTTTATGGGATTTATGACTGAAATAAATAATAATTCAATTTTTAAAGATCATATCTTCCAAATGCCCTCCTTCGACTTCAATGCAATTTTGAATTCTAAGTTTAAAATTTCGCATTACTCGACGAAGCAAATCAAACCAATATTACCAAATGATGCTACACCATTAGGATCACATTTTAACAAGTAGGCGCCTGTCTCTAAGCAACGACAAAAGTAAACACTTCATTGTTTTAGTCACAAATGTCACAACTTAATTTAATTTTCATTTTTTAACAATTTTCATTGCGTTATGAATTATTCAATTCAAGAGCGTGTGTTTTCCGTGGAAGTCTACATTAGAACTGGTTCAGTGGAAGAAGTTCGGCGTGCATTTCGACGGCAGTTTGGAAATAATAATAGGGGCGATGCACCAACACGCGTTACAATTTCGGCATGGGTTCGTCATTGGCGTGAAAATGGCTCTGTGCAAAACATTAAAAAACCTGGACGTCGAAGAACGGTGCGTACGCCTGCAAATATTGAACGAGTGAGAGCTGCCTTCACAAGAAGCCCTAAGAGATCTGCTAATCGGCAATCACTTGCCCTAGGAATATCCAAGGGAAGTCTCCACAGAATTCTGCATAAAGATTTAAAATTTCACCCCTATAAATACCAAATGGCGCATCACCTCAGTGATACAGATAAAGAAGCGAGGTTGACATTTTGTCAAGAATTTTTAAATCAGCACCATGGAGGAATACATAATTTGCTAATGAGCGACGAAGCAAATTTTCATTTGGACGGTGTTGTTAACAAGCAAAACTTTAGGTACTGGGGAGCAGAAAATCCTCACGAACTGTTTACCAAAAACCTCCACAGTCTAAAAGTCGTTGTGTGGTGTGGTGTAGCATCATTTGGAATTATCGGTCCTTATTTTTTTGAGGATGAAAATAACCGTCCTGTTACAGTTAATTCCGAGCGCTACATAAACATGTTGCAAACGTTTCTTATCCCCGAACTAACTAGACGGGGACTACTAAATGGTGCCATATTATTCCAACAAGATGGAGCTACAGCTCACACAGCCAGAAACACTATGAGGATTTTGCGAGATTTTTTTGATGGCCGTATAATTTCCCGATTTGGAAATTTGAATTGGCCCCCGAGATCTCCCGATTTAACGGCCCCAGATTTTTTTCTCTGGGGATACCTGAAGCAAAAAGTTTATGCAAGTCGTCCAGCAACAATTCTGGAGTTGAAAGAGCAGATTCAAAATAAAATTGCAGAAATAAATGGAGATTTGCTGCGTCGAGTGATGCAAAATTTTGAACTTAGAATTCAAAATTGCATTGAAGTCGAAGGAGGGCATTTGGAAGACATGATCTTTAAAAATTGACTTATTATTTATTTTCGTTATAAATCCCATAAAATTAGCTACATATTAGTCCATTAAAAAGTTAATTTACTTTGATCAGAAAGTTTTTATTCGACTTTTAAACTGCATAGTCAAATATGGGGAACCCTGTATAAAAAATATGTATACCAAATTTGAAGTTTCTAAGAAAAACAATTTTCAAATTATTTGAAAAAAACTAGTTTATCTATTCTATATTTAGAAGGCTATATCTTGGTAGGTGTGCACTTTTGTATATACAGGGTGTAACATAAAGGTTGGGAATAAATTAAACAGTGGATTTTTTATTTTAAAAAATAAATATTTGTCATATAAAATTATGCTCTATGGGTTTTCTTTTCCAAGCTACAGGGTGTTAAAAAATTTCAAAAAATTTAGTTTTTTAATATCATTTTCAATGCAAAAATCTTTTTTCAATGCCTATTTGACCATGTTCGGTGGCTGAGTCAAAGCGTACTTCATAATACTTTTGTTATTTTTATATTCCTCTGTTAGAAGTGGGATAAAATGATATTTACAAAAGTTTTAATTACGGAAAAATTACAAGAGCTAGAAATAAAACGCAAGAGGGTAATTTTGTTTAAAATAAAAAGTAGATCATAAACAAATATTAAAAAGATGTTTTTACCAGTGGAGTACCACAATTTTCTTCGAAAAACCTTATGGTACAATCCGTACGCGCGCCACTGAGTAACTTACAAAGTCAATTTTTTTCCTGTAACTAGGGGATTATCAAATTAAGCTAAGGCTAAAATTTCGTTCCATTATCTTATAATGTTCGAAATTTA